ACATGCAGTATAAACACTCAATATATGAAATTCATTGAATTTCGTTGGATTTTCAATCGTTTTTGGTCTTTACAACTACGAAAAACTTTTAAACATATTCTCTATTTTTTCATATTTCATCGATTTTTTCGTGTTTTTCAGGTCCAAAAACGATTGGAAATTCATTAAAATTCAATGAATCTCGTATATTGAGTGTTTACGCTGAATAGTTCTCTCATTTTTCTGATTTTTTTTTTCGGGTGGGTCAACTTACAAAATTGGTCGACATTTCAATATGCACGGAAAGAATTTCGCCATGTAACGATATGTGTGAAATGACTTAGGATTATGAAAATACACGAAAAACTAGTAAAAAAAGCTTATACTAAGGCTGCCAACTCTACTGATTTTTTCAGTAGACTAATAAAATTCGTAAAAAAAATTCGTGTGTCGGAAGCAAATTCTTGTTTACACATATGGAAAGAGGAAGTCCCAAGGAAGTTTTCTATCTGATCAGATTTCCCGGAAAAGTCACTGGAGCCAAAATATGGCCTCATATATAAATTTTGGGTCATTTTCAGTACATTTTATTTTTACAAAATCTTCCATATTTCCCGAGTTTTCCAAGATTTTCCAACCATTTTCATTTTATGAATGTACGATCGTATGCTGAAAACGAATTCCAGAAAATTTCCCGGAAAATTGCAAATCCTGGAAAATTTTCCGAAAATGAACTTATCGCTATAAAAGGAAAATGGAAAATCGGGGAAAATTATGAGAAGTCCCATTCGATCGGGCGGAAAATTTCATGGGGATGGTAGCCCAAGGCCGAGATTTGGGGCCTAAATCCAGCCGTTTCCGAGATATTGCGAAAAAACTGGCTTTAGTACTGAATTTTTCAGTATTTTTTAGAAAATAGTTGGCAGCCTTAGCTGATATCTTTGAAATTGTCTATTTGATGATGGTCCGAAAAAATTTAGTTTTTATAAAAATAATTTTTTTTTGCAAAAATTTTTCATGAGCCGATTCGAGCCGTTTAAGAAGCGTATTCACTCTTGGAAACTACTTTTATATTGGTTTTTGACGTTTCTAAATCGATTGAGACTAGCCAAATTGACGATTTGTCGGTCGAAATACAAAATCGGCGGGGTGGGTCAACTTACAAAGTGGGTCAACCTACACATACTCCCCCTATGTTTTTTTGTCGATTTATATTTTAGAAAAGGAAAGTATGTCTCATCATCATTGTATTTCCCCTGGTTTTCCAGAATCAGGCCGGTTTTACCATGGTTTTTCGGACCCAATTCTGGTATGATAGCCTCACTTTTATATCATCCCTCCCCTGACTGTATTCTCTTTGCAAAAGACGCACCATGGGCGGAATTTATGCCGTATTGGGTCTCTGACCAGCATGTTCTCAGCTTGCTGGGAACACATATTGGCATAAATGTAGGCTCCATAATAAATAAATAATACAAATGTTTTCTGTTGATTCTATCTACGTTAAAAGGAAGTATGTTGGCATCTCGTCTAGCCTTCGCGGTTTTTCACGGTTTCCCGGAACTGATAAGAGATTACAACTTGGTGTCTTCGGTAAAGTTGTAGTACTCGAGGTCTTCCATAACATTGCTGAAGACATCTATCTCTTATCTCCTATAAGTTGCGCGCAAATCGCGCACATAAAAAAGCAAATTTTATATAGGACTTTTTTTTCTTATCATTTTTCGCGCTTTTCGCGGAACTGATGAGAAATAAGAGATAACTGACTTCAATGTTATAGAAGACCTCGAGTGGTACAACTTTGCCGAAGACACCAAGTTGTAATCTCTTATCAGTTCCGCGAAAACCGTGAAAAACCGCGAGGACCCGAAAAACGAACATACATTCTTTTAACCATTATTAGTTGCAATGAAACATACTTCTCTTTATGGCTACGAAGTTGGACCAACTTGCGTTCTTTTACGTCTCACTAATAGATATATATTTTAACGGGTTGACACGGTCATAAATTGATGTGTAACGAGCAGCAAAGCCTCGATGGCCCACTGTATTCGTTACATATTTTATTATCATACGATTTCCAGTCGACATAATTATCGGGATGTTCGTTCGAACACCACAGAAACGTCTGAGTAACGGTGATTTATGCCAATATCCGTCACGAATTTCCAAATAAGCACTCTTACAGTTGATATCTAAATCACTAATATTCAATCGAATTTTTTCTCCATACGTTACCGAAATACGCCATTCACATCGAATCGGTTTATTATACTTTACGTGATAGTGGAGATGTGAATGTGGCCTGTTGATTGTGGAATGTGCGAACACATTCCGGACATTTGTACAATTTATTTGATATCGCTTGGGTTCAATCCATTTCGTCGACCAAATTTTGATATTTATCCATTTTTTCCACGCTTCGCTTGAATTGTCGATTTAGTCAATATACTTTCCGAAAAAACGAGCAAATCATAACGCATGATCGAATCAAAATCATATGGTTCACCCAATGAATCCACATCTTTGGTTGTCAATTTTCTGAAACTAGGCACATTACCGGATAAAATGTTTTTACTCTGAATTTTAACGAAATCATCTCTGTCCGGTCGTACGTGCTCATGCTGAAATCCAATTGCATGACCAGTTCATGTAAAATTATATTATATGTATGACAACCTATTCCGATCGACACATCTTGAAAAATCAAAGCTTCATGTATTTATTATAGAACTTTTGAACTTTTTCTAGAGCAAATGGTACTGAAAAAAAGTTAAGTGTCAAATCTCAACATTGCTAGAATCATTGTGTTAACTGTGTTCCGTGGACAATTGATATCATATGAGTAAATTATTTATTAAACACTGAAAATCCCTGAAATTTACTGAAATTGGCTGAACAGATGGTAAACATTCGCACTATCCAATGTGTAAGACTTTGAAATGTTATTATTGTATTACCCCCCCTCTGGACGACCAACCTTCAGAAGCTCGGGAAGTCACACTCTGTTCCTGAATGGCACTGAAAGTGTGAATAGAAGAAATTGAAATTAGAAAAACTAGTTTGAAAATTGTCAAAAAATTATGTATCATATCACCAGCAACTCCACCACAAATCGTTGTTCCACTCATGAGGCTCATCATCAGAATGACGAAAATGCCCAAGTCAGCTAAAGTTCTCAACAATTTCATTGCGACAGATTTTTTATTTATCTCTGGGTGTCTTCAGATAATATACACAGATTGCTTTGATAAATCAAATGACACGTTATTTGGGGCCACACTTCACCATAGTAAGTCGAGGGGAGCTCAAAAGGTCGAAAAATCGCAAAAAATTAAGGGCGAAAAAATGGTAAAATCCCCACTTAACACCCAAAATCAATTTCATATCTGGAAACTCCATAAAAAATCCTATAAATATGGTGAATATTCTTAGTTGATATGACCCCTGCGTCAGCCCTAAATCGAAGCCGAAAGTTCGTTGATTCGATTCGCCCCCATGTATCTGCAGATTGTGATATCGCATTTGGCAGTCGAACATGTTCGACTGCCAAATGCGATATCACAAAATACTTAAAACAATAATAATGTTCGGCACCAATGGCATTTCTTTGCCCTAGGTGGTTTATTTAAAGAACAAGTAATGATTAAATAAGTAAATAAATCAATTTGTTGTACAATAATTATTTACAGATTTCTGCCCTTGAAGAAATTTTTTAGCTTATTTTTTATAAATTCAATAGTTTGATTAAAATCATAATGTTCAGCATATTTATTGAATTTAGCCACTATGTTATTTATTGGGTCTTTGGAATTAGTTTCGATTAGTAAATTTTTATTTCTAGTATATCCAATTGGAATTCTAAAATTTAGCAACTTGACCAAATTAGATGAAGACATTGTAGCCTTTATCAGTGAGATAATAAATAATATTTGTGAGATTGATCGCCTATCTTCTAAAGTGTTCATGTGAAAAAATAGCAGTCTATGTCTATATGGAGGTAATTCATAACGATATGGCCAATTGAACTTGCGCCACGCAAATTTTAACAATTGTTTCTGAATTGATTCGATTTTGTTGGTGTGTGTTTGATGTTGCTCAGGCTGGAGATGCGTATTCGACGATAGGCAAAACGAATGTTTCAAATAGTCTCTTAATAGTCCACGGGTCGTCGAATTCTTTGGAGAAGCGTCTTATCCAGGCTAGTCGCGATTTTGCTTTTGATACGATGCGATTAATATGGTTGTGGAATGTCATTTTTTGATTCATTATCACACCCAAATCTCTGATTTCTGTAACAGTGTCAATTGTCGAATCGCCAAGGGTGTAGATAAATTCGATTGGGTTGTTACCGCGGTAATATGATATCTTTTTTGTTTTCTCCACGTTCAAATTCAGTCGATTAATTTTAAAATATTTATCCGCAGCAGTCATTTTGTAGAGTGTGGCAATCGGTTATAGATGTTATTGATTTCGAGATTTTTGAAACAAAAACCAAAAATGTTTATTTCTACGCGAAAGTACTCGATGTTAGCCGTAAAAATCACATATCTGTTATAGATGTTGCATTTAGTTGAGAGAAACGTTTAAAGAATGGGCTCAAAAAAGTCCATAGCAAAAACCTATAAATGTTATTTGTTATGGGTAACGTTCATTCAAAACTTTCAAATGACTTTATTCAAATAAACTTTAATTCAAACCTTCAAATTCGAACGTTGGAACTTGTTGGCCGTTTTGGAAGCGATGAAATGCATACATTGCGGAGTTTTATGCAATTTCATTGAATAACAATAAAAAAATCGTCATTGTTTTGGCAATCTGTGATCTCAGCAGTTATTTTACATGCAACAAAGACAAAAACAAAGCATAATGATGACTATCGCCACTAAAGTGCTGAAAATGCACCCGGAAAAGAACTGTTTGCTTCTTCGAACGTTTACATTTCCGAATTCTTTTCCTATGCAATAGGTTATGTGGTATGTGGGCTGGTGCAGTTGCGACAATCTGCATAGTGATTTGTATGGTGTCAGTGTGCTATATGTCATTCTACAAAAATGGCTCGTTTATTCCTCATACTTACAGTAATAAGTGGTGTCATGGTTTTCATCGACAATGTCAGTACAAACGATGCCGAGTTTGGCCGGATTATCACGTTTGACAATTTCGATCATTTCAAAGTAAGTTAACGTGATTTATTCGGTTTGAAAAAGTTTATTGTGTTTTTTGAATGTGTTTTTTAAGTGAAAATAAAACGGTTGAACAAAAAATACGGAGATGCTTTGAGCGTCTGGAATAATTCAATAAATTTCAGAGAATAAGTTGAAAAGTATTCGATTTGAAAAACTGTTTAACACTAGTGTATTAATTCATTTTGCATAGGCATCGATGGACAAGAAATACCACCATAATCACATGGAGAAGCGGGCTCGTACGGCTTATGACAAAAATATGCAGCGAATAGTAAAGCATAATGAGGAGGCGCGAAAAGGGAAATATTCGTTTGAAATACGTGCCAATAATATGGCCGATATGACACGTGAGGCATACCTAAGGCGATTTATTCGACTGAAGCAGGACATTCATCCGGAAAGTGTGGCTCTGAATGAAGCTCACGAACGTATTGATGCCCAAGACCACGAAGCATTGCTTGGATCAGTGCACCATGAACATGTTAACGAAGCTTTTATTCCTGATGCATTGGACTGGCGCGAATTGGGCTTCAAAACAAAACCACTCAATCAAAGGACCTGTGGTAGCTGCTATGCATTTTCGTTAGCGACCAGCATTGCAGGCCAAGTTTTTCGGCGAACGGGAAAAGTTGTGGAATTGAGTCCACAGCAAATTGTCGATTGCAGCATATCAATGGGTAACAGCGGATGTACGGGCGGCTCACTTCGAACCACACTGAGGTATTTACAATCGTCAAGAGGCCTAATGCGTGACGTCGACTATTCGTACGAATCGGAGGTAACATAAGATATGACGATCGCTTTGACATTTCCAATTCGTTTCTATCTCTTTGACATTTTCTAGTGAAAAGAAATTTAAAGGTTTCCTACACATTTAAAGTACAAAGAGATTTTTGTTGGAAACAAGTTAGAGATTGAAAAATGGAATTGAACTGAATTGAAATTCAATCTATGATAGATTTAAAATGAGAAAAAAAATATTTTCCAATCACAAATTTTCCAATTCAAATTCAACCATTTTCAGCAACAAAATTGTCAGTACAAACCATCATTGGCGGTGGTCAATGTGACGCGATGGGCTATTCTACCGCATAAAAACGAGGAAGCGATGAAAAAAGCGATAGCACTGGTGGGTCCAATCCCAATATCGATCAATGCACATCCATACTCATTTCAACTTTATTCGCACGGAATTTATGAGGATTCTGAATGCCACGATAAATCGGTGAACCATGCCATGCTTGCCGTTGGCTACACACCAGACTATTTTATCCTTCAAAATTGGTGGTAAGAGCAAATTTCTCTTTGAATTGGATTTTTCTAGGTTTTTCTCCATATCTTGACGAGTTTTCTTTATTTATATTGAATTTGAAGTTATATTAAAATATTCTTCCGTTTTCAGGGGCGATAAATGGGGCGAGAATGGTTATATGAAAATCAGACGAGGTGTCAACATGTGTGGCATATCAAATTACGCTGCATACGCTTTAGTATAGCGTTTCGCTTCAAAAATTCCAATATTTTGTTCCAAACGACTCCGATGAGCATGATGGCTAGAAATAAAATAATGAAACAGCGTTTTGTCATCCATGATGTTTTTCACCCAAACGGAGATTTCGACTGATAGTTTAGAATTAGAAATGATTTGCTTGAATTCGAAGTAAATCAATTTAAAACAGAATTCAATGAGAAAACAAAGTAAATTTAGTAAAATCACTAACAAAGAATTTCATGTAAAATTAAACTAAGAGTGTAATGTAAAGAAATTAAATGGAAAAAAAAACAATAAAAAGAAATGAATGATTAGAATGAGACAAAATGCGTTTCATTTCAGTTTTCGTAAATTATTCCAATGTTTTTCTTTGCTTTATTGTTGTCTTGCAATTTTTCCGACATTTTCATCAAACTTACTTCGCTAAATTGCCTTAATTGTCTAAACGTGATTGTTTTGTGCATTTGAATTTCTGTGCGCATAAAATTTGTTTTGTATCCCCCATTCACACGTAGAATAGTTAAACGATTTAGTTAAATGTTCGAAACGAAACATTTGACATACAAAAAGAAAGCAAAAAATGTTTATAGCCAATGTAAAAAAATACTAAAACATAGTGTAAATTATAAACATAAAAAGAATATGATTGAAAAAAAGAATGAAAACAAAACCGGAGAATCGATTTAAAAAAAAGATTCGAACAACACATATTGTGTTGGATTGAGAGAAAGATCACAATCGAAAAAGAAAAGTATCGAATCAAAAGCAAAAAAAGGAAAGTCTGTACAAAATTTTGCGCTCGGTTTTCACCCAAATGTTTGTTTCTTCATTTATTCGTATATTTTTGTCGTTGTTGTTGTTGTCAAATCAAGTAGTTATAAAAAATTCAATCATATTCGATGAAACGGTAGTCGTATTCAATTCCATCATATCATTCATGGTTTAATATAAATCACTTAAGTAAATCGTTAACATATTTCGTGTTGCTCTCAATACGGTGTCCCGCTCACAAAAAAAAGAACTTATAAACTATCGGTTATCTTAGTGTCGGTGAGAGGCTCAATTGCGATTCCTATTTCATTGGAATGTAAAGAACTCGATAGCATTTGTTGCTGTTGTTTGTTTTTTTCCTTGTTTATCTTCTTTTTTTCGGGTTGTGCGCACGCGATTTTTTCTCTATCATCATTATTATTTGCATAGAAACCGTTTATCCGCAAAAATTTGTTTGCGTCGTCTGGCTTAAGGTTTCAAAAAAATAAATCACACACGACACAAAAAAAAGAAATAACATTATATTCCTGATATTGAACGTGTTTTGTGCGCAATTGATCAGTTTCCAAAGAAAAGAACAAAGGGGAAAAAAATTCAACAGCATTTCAGCTGATGTTATCGTTGGGCCGATAACAAACTGGTTGTTCACATTCAGTATCATTTTGATTCATTCAATCAGTCTATTGTTTGTGTGTCTGTGTAAGTTTGTATATGATGTATGTAATAGAGCTCTTGACCTACGGAATCAGGGTGCTTACATTATTTTATCTGCATTTCATCTGTGTTTTTTTGTTTCATCTTTGTGTAGGCACATGAACCCTGATTGATTTTTTAGGGCCCATTGCAATTGGTTTGTGTGTGTGTGTGTGTATGTTTTGAATTTTGATCGCAATAGAACACCTTATTGAATGAGATACGTGAAGCTTTTTATCTAATTGATTCTAAATGAATTTATTTTAATGCTATGAAAACTATGACTAAACATTAAAAAAGTAAAGAAAAGCAAAAAATTCATCATCAGCTAAAAATTCCAATGAAAAAAAAAACTGAACCTCAAAAAAGGTTCTCTATGTGTAATAATCTAACAATCGAACGGAATCCGTTCGATATATCGCATTGTATTGTTGCTGTGTATGTCCCGAAACCAATACCGCAAACGATGACCGATGACGACGACAACGGACGACGACGACGACGAATAACGATCGTTTGATTAATATGGCTTGGTTTTATTTGACTTTGCTTTTGTGTCCCGCTCGCGTCCACAGTTTTAATCAATCTTATAACGTCTTTTTTTTAATAGTAGTAATTTTTTTGTGACAATCTAACTATAAAAAAATTTCAACCTAACCAATTTTAATGTCAATTTGTCATATAGCATCAGCCTTATACTGACGCTGAAAATGCTGGCAAGAAGATTCTTGAAAAAATCATGTACACAAAGTACAGCAGTGCAGTGTATATTGAGTATACTGTTGCGAAGTGAAGCACTTTCAGTCTGAAAAATGGAGATAGGGAAAGCGAATTAAAATCAGAATCATCAATGGTTGGTTTGAAGGTCGTCCATAATCATTCATATCGTCTTATATCCTCGGAATAAAATGAGACATGAAGAGAATTTCTTTCAATGTAAGACATGAAATCTGGACGACCTATGAATAAGGTGCGAATAATCGCCAAATTGAATTTCATTCCAGAATCAACCAAAAACTGCCTTTGAACATTCATTTTGGTTGAGACTCAATGAAATCAATTTGGTGATCCTCACAACATATGAGGCTATATAAAAGCCCAATGTTTACAATTTAAACAAAAAAAAATAGTATCTACGTCCAAATTTACCTTTGATTGCGTTTCAATGCAGCTGGAATATTGCTTGGATCTTCCTTCATCAAGTATGTGCGAATGCCAAACATTGAATTATTGATCACTTCGCTCCAGTTGATTTCGGCCATGTTAAACGAGAACAATTGTTGATCTTGTGGCGTTAATTTATTCCACAGCTGTTGCACATTTTGATTCGTGAAATACCATTGGCCATTGGTGAAATAGTAAATAACGTCACAGAATCGATGAATCTTTCGGTAAACTTGCAACATTCTGTTTGGTTGAAAATGAGCGACAGAGACAAGTCGTTAGTAATAATTCATAGTACGTATTATATAATTGGGGTGTTTGCTGTTTATCGGAAGACATTTAAATATCTCTCGAGCTCGTTCAGTCTATCTCTATCTCTCTCTCGAAACGGTTACAATGAATATGAGTATGTCATCCGCGTTGATACGCGCACCGTAATAATAACGATGCGAATGAATGCGATTTTATTTTGTCATTGTTTTCATCTTCCCGTTTACTTTTTTTTTCACCGCTTCATCATCATCATCATCTCTGTTTACGTGATCATTTACATGTATAGTATTTACTTGAATCATTTGCAAGCAAATGCGAAATGCGATTTGGGTGTTTCGTAGAGTTTGAAAGCGAGAGTTGTGTATATCGTTGATAAACCATTGAACTCGATCAATATTTCGTGTGTCCCATTGAGAAATGGACACATTGCCGTTCGAAAAACAACAACACAAACACCGAAAATGAAGCGATTTTTCTTTGTACTTACTTTGGTTTCCGTTGCATGATAACCAAACCGGTGTCAATGAGCAATGCGGGCAATATGTGATAGAGGAATGTCAGAATGGTTACCAAAAATCGGTTGGGTGACATGCTGAAACTGTAGTACCAAATGGATTTCATCATTGGCATTTTGGCACCATGTTCAATACCAAGTTTACAGTAATCTCTCCATGTGATTGGATTTTGTGGTGATGCAACATAATTGTAAACGGGCGGTTCCGAATAGTTGCGATAATTGTGTGCGATATCATAAGCGCTGGCCAAAATTCCATTAACAACCATATCGACGGGCACCAATTCGGCATGATTCTCTTTTTTACCGTAGAAAACGCGCAACAAACCAGCACCGACACCAACAATTATACCGGTTGGTCCGTACATGTTATCGATCCAGCCAACAAGTGGCTCTTTCACTGTTGGAATAACGATGGCTGGACGGAATATGGTCACCGGCAACATTTCATCTTGATGGGCAGCCGATTTTACCTCTTCAACATTGTTATTTTCGATAATTTTGTCGGTGGTGATGATTTTCTCCGAGATTTTTTCATTATTGTTTTCGCCATCGTCACGTCGGCACATCGATTTCACTAAATCTTCAGCCAAAGCTTTTGTGAATGTGTATGTGTTTGGCCAGTCACCGATTAAACTGTGGAATTGGATGGGAAAATTTTGTTTAGTGAAGAAATTAATTCGAAGAAGAGTGGAAAAAGGAGCCAACATTGAATAAAAAAAAGGAGATTCAATGGCGAAAAATCTTGGGGAAGATGGATTAAAGCCAGATAAATTATGACCATGGCCTTCTAGTTATCTCCGCAGATGAATGATGATCATAATACGACTGATACGAGAAAAAACAAATGATTGACTTACGTTGGTGTGATTTGTTCCAGTGTCTTTTCATCGAAGCATTCGGCCATTTTCATGGCATTGCTGCCGCTCAATTTTGTGCGATAAATGCGCTCATCAATGTTCGATCGGTTACAGTTGGCATATGCAGTTGAAACATGAACGCACGCCTACAACAGACACACATAAACAAATTGATTAATAAATTACGTCCCGTCAACGAGAACATTCAATAATTTTTGGAAATCACAACGCTTACCACCAAGGATTTTGCTTGTTTTGACAACAGCATGATTTCTTTTGTGCCATTTACATTGATGGCCAATGCCAATTTTAGCTTTTCATCGAAACGAACGGTAGCGGCAACGTGGAGAATAATCTGAACGTTTTCGATAAGTTTTCGGCGATCGGAATCGGATAAACCGAAACCTGGTAAACTGCAATCACCTTCGATCGGAACGATTTTGTGGCGGAATTTTTCTTCTTTGTCTTGTTGCTTCAACTTGGAGAAAACCTGTTGCAAGAACGAGAGAGAGAGAGAGAGAGAGAGAGAAAAAAGAAATCAGCATTAACAATGCACGTCTTTCTCGAGGGTTACACTCGTATTGAATAAAAAATTCACATATTTTATCCACAAATTTAAAGAAAAAAAATAATGATTTCAAGAAAATGAAAACGAAATTCAAGCCAACCAGCTGCAGATATTCAAAGAAGGTCATCAGTGATCACGCGGTTCATTCTTTTTTACAAATATTTTATTGTTTCGACTGAAAACCAGTTTGCTAAGTCGATGAAGGATCCCTTCTGCATCTTTTTCTTCTTCTTCTTCTTCTTCTTCTTCTTGGACTTCGGTGGAATATTCGTTCCGTGTCCGATGCGAAGAATCAATTAGTTTCATGTCCTTCCGTTTTCTTGCAATGACTTCTCTGTTAGTTTATGCGTATAAATTACTCACCACATCGTTCATTATGTCCTCCATACGGGTGCTGATGTCTTTGCCCTTTTTCGATCGAATCAGCACGTAAATGGTGTCAATGTGACAGGTTCGGAGCAACTTTTCCATGGTAATTTTGCCCAAGAAACCACTGCCACCCGTCAAGAAGACGGTTTTATTCTGGTAAAATTGCTGCATTGGTGACAGAGCACCATCTGATCATCGAGGGTCAAATCAAGAACGCGAAATAAGGAGACGATCACGGAAACGAAAAAAAAATGTGGAAAACTAATTAATCATGTTCCATCATGTTATAAATAATATCAGTTCTTAAAATAACGAAAAATTAGTATTCATGATTCATTTCGTTTTGGAATTGATAAGCTAAATGGGTGTATGGAATGGGATACGAAATAAAACCGTGAATTGCGAAATCACATGCGGTTTTAAGGTTTTACGATGATAATAAAACATGAAAAGTAAATCTCGTCTACTGCGAATTATGGAGGACTGCACTTTTTTCTCTCGCTTCTTTCGGTATCCGAGCAGTGCAGAAGAAAACAAAGCATCAAAAGCAATGTCTTGACCATAAAATTCTTCGTTGGTTGACCTTGCACAACATCGTACCGAAATGCATTTCGAGCTGAAAACAACACCGAATTTCATTTTATTTTTTAGTTTTTTACTCGAATACAAGACTATGATTCCGGAAAGTATTGCACTGAAGTTAAACGTTCTTAAAGCGTCAATAATCTGTAGTCATTGTAGGAAATGATTGAAAATTTCCAGTGCGAGAATGTTCAAAACATTATCCGGAGGCGATTCTAGTGACGCATTCCGGAAAAATATTCCATCAATTGATTGATTGAATTGTAAGTATGCTACAACAAAAAAGGCGTCGACTCTAAATAAATCTATTATTAATATTTATATCGATAAAAAGACGTCATGACACGCATGCGCACAACATACTACAATTGAATCCACTCTAATTATATATCGTATTTATAACATGTTTTGAGCTCGACTTTACAGTCGATCTCGCTAATATGGTTTTATTCTCGATATTTTGCCATCTCATGTGAACCGTTTCGAGAGCAAAAAAGAGAATCAAAGCATTTGATTTTTCATTCCTGCTGTGTGAAGCTCCGAAACATTTGAAAAAGCCAAAAATAAAATGAAAAAGAAATAAAAAAAACCCGATTTAAAAGGCTTAAAACTGGATACATTTTTATGATGGTGATAGTCTTATCTGTGACATATCTCATGTTTCGCGATCACAAAATTCGGCACGTTTTTGTGTGAAATTCTAGTCTTTTTTCATTGACTTTCAACTTTGAACAAATAATATTGAGGAAAAAAAACGATTGCTTATCAATTCCGAATCGAAAACCGTTCTTAATAAAAAAAAACCAAATGAAAATTGGATTCCTAAAGCGAGAAAAAAAACGACTCCTAATCAAATCAATTCCGAAAACAAAATCATCCTAAAATGAAAACGCTTCATGAACATTTTCAAATGGTCTCTGTGCACCGCTCAGAATGTCGCCTGGTTGGTTCTCGTGCTTTTTTCTTTGTTTTTGTGAACATGACACACAAAAAAGCGCGAGAGCCTAAAGTCCAACAACCAAGACCAACTTGAAAACTGGGATCTCAAACCACTTAAAAATGTTGCTACAATCTCTTAAATCATTTTCGTTTTATTTTGTCGTTCGTTGGTGTTCATTCGCAGAAAAAAAAATCATTTAGAATTTTGGACACTTGTGACTTCTATACGGAAATTTGAATTTGAATTTGAATATGTTGTTCCAAAGTTTAGGTGCTTTTGTTTATATCACAATATCAATTCCAAATGATTTGATGTGTGTGTTTTTGACGATTTTAAAGAACATCTAAACTGAGTTTACTGCGAACAACATCTCTTTCACGCTAAAAGCAATTCCTACACGAACGAGTCAGTGTGACAGTTGGTGTGAGTGGGACAAAGTTTGACAGCAAACAATTTGGTTGTGTCAGTTTGAATGTTCTTTGGATTTTTCAATCAAAATTCCAATGTTTTTTTTTTGGCGTTGAATGCGTTACTTCCGAAACGAAAAAAAAACACGACTTGCAAGCTAAATTCGAAACTTACCGTTTACGTTATTGTTGTCAATAATTTCCGTCATTGTGTCGACCTTTTAATGTACCAATTTACCAATTAGGAGTTTTGCGATCACACGTGCTAAAACTGAAGAAAAAAAAAACAACAGAACAATAAAATCTATGTTAATTAAAATTAAACAAATTCGTGTATTTCTTTCGTTGAGTAAATATCAAATTAATCAATTTTAACATGATGAAGCCCATCGTGATGTGAAATTTAAATAATGTGTGTAAATTTGATGAAAAATGAATATTATGTGAATAGTGTGTCTTTGAGATTTCAGGGTCGAACGTCGTTGATACTACACAAAAACGAGACAAAAAATCATCAACGTGATCGAACGAAATTCTTCAATTAAAATAAAGCATTGTTTTGGAGAGTTGTGATGAATAAGTCATTAGAAATGCAATTAAAATGCACACTCGAATCGAGTGTGATCGAATGAGAGTAAGTGATTTTTGTTGCTGTCACTTGTAATTAAAAATCCGTAAAAATACATTCTTTGTCTCCAATCAATAAGGAAATCGAAATCAATCTTCGTCACACCGCAAGTGAGTGAGTGGGAGAGCGAGAGAGAAACAGCTTGAAATATTGATTGGATTTATTTTTGTGTACACTTTGGAATAATAATGAAGTTTGCATAAAACGCAGTAAGTTTTATCTGGCGATGATGGTTTGGTTGGTGGTAGTGATGTTTGATTATCGAATTGGATTGTATTTTATTTTTTGTTTTGTTAGAAAGAGACACAGACTCATCGATTGCACGACATCGATTCGATGAATTTGTATTCCAAAGAGGCACAAGACACTTGAGCGCAATGAAGCCAACTTGTTAATTGTGTACACTTGGCGATTACTTAATAATCGTCAGTTCACCGTATCGTTCGATATTCTTCTTTGTCATCGTTGAGCATGCTCACACGAGCGCGAGCTGATCGGTGTTGGTGTATGAGCGACTGAGCAAGTGGATATGCGCTCGCGTACATAACTGGAGGTAATCCAACAAGTGGACACTATTGATTTTACACTTACGTAAAGAAAAAAAACACACACACACCACAAACACCGAATCGTTCATATACATAAACTATTACATCGATGGTGAATGTTTCTTTTTCTCATTTCATAAAGGTGTCTCTTTGTTCTTGTCGCTAATATTCACTTGAAATTGAACTTCTATCACACAGAGAACGCGAAAAACGTGTTTCTAAACACAACTGAAATACATTGACTCGGTCTGAAAATTATTGCGGTCTCGAACGCATGAACAAAGATAACACTATATCAATGCAATTCGTAGTATGCCAACCGTTTCAAGAAAGAAAACATTTGAAACAACGAAGAAATAAATCACCGAAATAATGGAATCCAAAAACATATCAAAAACAACAACAACACGTGTGAAATAACTCGGTTCGGCACATACACACACACACACACAAATACAAAAACGTGCACGAATGCACAATGTAAACACACACGCTAACTGAGCGACTTGGAAACAAAGCAGCAAAGACAAAACATGAAGCGAATAAAAACGCAACGGAGAAAATATGACAAAGTAAAATTAAAAAAAAAAAATAAAGAGAAAATTTCATGGCCATCGAACGACCTCTAAAACACTTTTCGAGTATACCGACGACATACGACTACTGGTTGACTGTCTGACAGTCTGACAGAGAGAAAGAGAGCAAAAGAGTGCAAATGGGTGTGCGTGCGCGCGTATTTCAAGTGAAATTGGTAATACCAATTATTTTTGATTATGTAGTCGCATATGAGCGCGCGTACGCGCGAGCTCAAAGACCCACATTCAATACATCGCATGCCATAACATACACCAAATTCGTGTGACACTTTTCGAAACTTCGTCGCACAATTGTTTTTTTTTTTCTCGCATGCAAGTAAGAGTGAGAGTACAAACGATACCGTTCAATTGATCACGATCGATATGACAAACGAAAAATATTCCATTTTGCAATTTCGATTTCTCATACGATTTATCGTCAACGAAATATAAATGAAATGATCATGATTACGGCAACTTCTAATGGGTCGAAAAAAAAATTTCCGTTGCTTTTTGTAGTTTTGAAGCACACCTCCGCCGAGAAACGTTTGAAGGGAATAACCAAATCTATTTACAAAAAATTTTGTTTCTTGACCAATTTCAAGAGACTATCATCGAATCAATGGTCATTTTGACATTGCCCAAACAAGCGAGATGTTTTGTTTGCCGATGAACTTGAATCTTAGTGGGCTTATTCATCTTTCAGCTAAAAGGGACCATTTGAAGAAAATTGGTATGACGGTCATTGTTTTATGAATTCGGTGACGTCGGATGAGCTCTTTTGAAACTCAACAAAACGAAGAAAAAAAAAACAAAGCATTAAACGTAATTGATATGACTGAAATTGGTTGAAAAGATTTATTTCATCCCACGAATATGTCACACAGCCTGGCTTTGTCTGAACAGTGTAGAATATTACCAGTTTCATGATGATTTGCATTCATGATGTGAGTTTTTCTGCGCGTAAAATTCAGAAATTGCGCCAAATTTATGTTTTTTGTCTCCTTCTGCTGTTGCTGTCGTTGTTTACGACCGAGACGAAATTCCTTACGACCAGAAAAAAAGGAGAGAGGCAAAAACAAGCCATAATTTATGAGAGTATTTGTTAGACTTATCATCATCAATAAAATGGCATCAAGACAAAAATATCACTGATGATGTCGAGAGAAAGAGAATGAGAGTGAATCAAAGGATAACCAAAGAAAAAGCGAAGAAAAAAGAGAGAGAAAAAAAAGAGAAGCAATTTATTCCATTCTCTTCGTCTCCATTTGCTTCTCGCACACGTTCCAGTTTTCAAATCAGCTAATCAAAATAAGTGGTTATTTATAGTGGTTTTCAGAATGTTGTTGATATGTTTTATGGACATTGTCGCGTGTTAATTTCATTTGAAACAACTAAACAAAAATCAACTTTTATTTTATCAATTGGCGTAAATGCGCGAACGCGAGCGCGCGCACACACACACGCGATCAATCTGATTTGCAAATGAGGCAAATGACAACAGACTCTTACAGGAGTGTCATCTGTGCGTGGAGCATACATACAGCGGCGGAAGGAGGAGCAGGAGCGAGAGAAGGGCGACACGAAAACTAGAAACAATGTCAAGTCCAGAGTAAAAGTGTTTTAAAAAAACAATAAAAATAAATCTCTTTAGTTTAGATCACTTTGTTGCCATCAAGTCAGAAAAATGTGTGTTTTTCCTCTCAAAAACTTATTACTAAGTACACATGACACACACCATTTACATAATTGAAATATTATTCGCGCGCACTTTGTCGATATCAGGATGGGGAAAATTTATATGAATGGTTCCTCAATTTGCAAAATAATAATTGTGAACATATGAAAGCCTACGATGCGACGTATGAATATTGATCAATCGAATCGGTCGATTGCATTCCAATGAAGTAATAAAAATGATGATTTTGTTCATTTTATTATTGTACGTAATTGTTTTGAAGCGTACAAAGAAATTAATATTTCGAAGCAGATGAAGAGAATCACATCAGAATAGACGAAACCAGAGAAAAAAGTCCGTTTCTAGTAGCCGATCAATGACGGATCGCCGAGAACGAATTCGTGGTATGAACCAAATGAATTTGGCTTAGAATTGCGTGATCAAACGATTACGTCCGTCCGAAATCGGTGGATGAAAATGGTGTTGCGCTGTTTGTAAATTGCTGATTAAATGGCAAATCCGTATGTGTGTGTGTGTGTGTGTGTTGTTGTTGTTGTTGTTCTGATTCAAATATTCCGAACACGTGCACTCGAATGCAGCCATGTACTCAATTGTACCGAAATGTGATCGTCAACGCGATGCAAATGGAATAGCAAAATGTATGTCCAAATGCCAATACGAAGCGAACAAATTAGATTTCCGTTAAAATGTCAATACAATGCGAGAAACGTCGTCGAATTTCAACCAATTTCAACATAAATTAACTTGGAATAAGGAATACCATGGTTATGAGCCAATAAATCGGCATGAAATTAACCTAATTTTCACGTAAAATGAACTTGAATTCCAAAAATCCACGATAAATTGGTGATAGAATTCGATTTTTTTTTCTTCCACCTAAAATAAACCGATACGTGCCATACGGCGCTATATTTACTAACAAATCGATCATTCACTTCCATGAATAACGGTTGAATTGAGTTAACAACGACGATATTGCACGAAAACTGCCGCTAATCATGAGATTAAACCACATTTAATTGTCAAATGGGCTGTAGTCGAGTTAAAGCACAATGCACACAATTAGCGTGCTATTGAAATGAAAACGAGCTATAATCAGCAAATTGTTGCAATTAAATTCTAGAAATGAACAAAAGGCAATCACACACGCTAGCGCACCCGCGCACGCTACCGACGTCTGCTATTCAACGTAATGGTGTGTGAAAAACTACTACAAAAAAAACTGTACAGAAAATCGCGAGTCTTGGCGTCAACATCATTATCGTGTGCGAAATGCCGACACATACATATTCATTTGGGTGTTTAAAGGTGCCTCATTTCGGTGTCTAATCTGTCGTTATGGATGAAGGAAGAGATTCAGAAAACAGAGAGAGAGAGAGAGAAAACGGTAATCGTTTCAATTGTCTCTGCGCCGAATTAGTAGTTCCAAAGGTTGAACGTATAAACAAAAATTCCTCGATATGTCCACGTGCTTGATTGTGACAATTTCTGCGCTGGATTTTTTTTTGGCTTGGATGTCGGGGAATTACGTCAAAGTAGAAGACAAAAAAACGATGTTTTCCTTACGCAACATCGGAAACAAGTTCAAGAAATCGAAACGGAGTTTTATCACACAACATCTAATCATTAGTCGAAAAACCTTCGCGAATTGACCGAGCGTGGTGCACGAAAACAATTCTATTAATCTATTTTTAAAACCCAACTCTCGACACTGACGGAAGCATCGTCCGAACGAGTGAAAAATAAACCGGCACAGCGAGTCAAACTAGTAGAACGAAAAAAAAAATGTTGGCTGGAAAAAGTTGTGATTGCCGTTTCCATTTATAGACACCCGATTTGCGGACGAATATTTATCACTTATGCCATCAAATATGCGTATACTCTAATATTTGTCGACCGATTGTTTATGATTCGCCTGGTACGGATGTAGGAAAAAAACGCTTTTTTTCTGCTCATCTCGCTCGTTGTGTATGTGTCATCTAAGACTTCGCAAGAGGTAGAATTTATCGATTGAAAGTTGAAATTCTGGTTTAATACGATGAATGGGTGTTTTTTCGCTTGATTCCTTGATTTGATCGTTAGGTTTTTTTTGTATTTCATCGCTGTTCTAAAAACCAAATTTCATGAAAAAAATTCCAATCGCAAGATTTAAATATTCTAATTTTATCATAAGGACAACGATGATGAAGAGATATTGGCGAATATGCAATTTTATTCATCAATGTTATGGCCCACCAATTTTCAAATATGAAACAGGGCAAACAAGAGGAATCGGAGCGATCGACATAGGCAGCAAATGAAAAGCTGAACCGTTCCAGGCGACGTCAACATCATCATCGTCATTGTTTCTCCGCGTAATTTCAGCTATCAAAACAATATTTGACTCTTCTTTTTTTGCGGAAACGTGATTTCGTGTAATTTATGATGGCGCGACAGTGGTCGAATAAAACTATTTTTTTTACAGTTCTTCAAATGTAAACTTTGGAACTCGAATTCGTTCATTTGTATTTTTCGTTTTGCTTCTTCTTTTTTCTCCAAATGTGCCAGAGTGTGAATGGAAGCTCCATTATGGAACTCGAAGTTATTTTGCATAAATTTCATACGGAATTCGGGTAATCAACACAAGGAAGCGTTTTAACCAAAAACCACAGTCTCAACCGAAAATTAATTATGAAATCGAAGGTTAGAATTCATATGATCATTGATAAATTTTCGACGGAATCGAAATTTTCGACGAAAAAAAAACCAAAAAACTAAAAAAATGTCAAGCCGTCAACATATGCTCTTGGATGTTATTAGCAGGTAAGTGCCAAACTTGAGTTGACTGCAGTCAAATGACTTTGATAGAAGTGTACCGCACGTTTTGCACTCCACCAAAAACATTGATCAAGCTGTTATTGTTGTTTTTGCTACTCGCTTGTGTTGTCAATCAAATGCTATTGTATGTGAGACTTATAATATTTACCCCGTTGCAGAGAAGCAAACTCATGAATTTAGAAAATAAAATGTACGTGTTGAATTGCGCGAGGTAAATATCAACAAAATAACGCTTTTCTTATGGTATGTTAGACTAACATCAACGTACTTTGATCACTTGGAATTCACCGAATTTTTCATTCAACACAACAATAATAAACTGACCTACAAACCAATTTTTCAATGAATCACCCGAAAAAACAACAATTCTTAGGCAAACTAGAATTGATGGAATCGACGAAGTAATACCAAAACTTTATCAAAAAAAAAACCAAAACTCTCTCAAAAGGTGATGAAAATCGGAAAAATTTTCGCTTTAAACGCGATAAAATTATTGAGCTGCACGAGCATTTGAAACGATTGAGTTTGCAGCCCGTGTCATTGAAGTCTTTTGTTATATTGATGGCAAGTATCCAAATCTCTAAAATGAATGTGTCTAAGAAGAAGAAAAAAGGTGATGAAAAAGCTTCTTTTTTTTGTCGCGTGTAGCGTATGGAAAATGGGATTTGTGAACTTACACTGTTGTTGCGGTGTAGATGCTATGCACTTTGCTGCTTCTTGTATCTAATTTAATTGTCACTTGTGTGATCAAAAATTAAAGCGTTTAATGTCCTTTCCGTTGAACTTGTATTTGTTAGACAGTACGATCGTCGTATGAATATCGATATTTGTTTTCACACGACGCGGATTCTTCTTCTCTCTCTCTCTTTCCGAAAGAAAACGTGCTAATTATTTTCGATTGAAGAATATTATCAGTTTGTCAATTGTTTATCATCACCGTTTTTTCTTCTTCTTTTTTTCTCTTTTCAAACTCGAAATCCACCGAATTTACTTCACTTTCAAAAGCGGACGTTGTTTTATTCCGAATTTTTTTTTCTTCTTTTGAATTAAATCAATATTTTCTTCTATTCCGTATGATAAGTTTGCAAAATATTCTCTCTTTTTCTCAAATATCCTCTCTTTGCCGATTTTGGTTTTATTATAAACAGTCTGTTGTAGCAAAATGTATAAACAATTTCTTGAGAGAGCGTTGAATATTTTGCGTACGTTGTGTTCGAAGTGTAAATATGAACTGTTTCTCAAAGTTTCGATGAATGAATAGCTTCACTCTGTGTCACAGCGGAAAAAAAGCGTATCCAAGCTGGCTTCAAGCACTTGGCAGGAGTGTGAGATATATGTACACACGTTATGTTAAAAGTAAACAATTTATACACGGAATAAACAATATAAGCGAACACACACGCCTCTATATATCAATCGGGTTTGGTCAATGGGATGCGATGTTTTCAGGTGTATGTGCGCTGTGGCATTGTATTTGACTGAATGATGGCGTGTGTGTGTGTGTGTGTGTGTATGCCTCGTTTGTGACTGTTGTCGGTTTGGTTTTTCGACTATGTAGTTTATTCGGGGGCTTTTGTGGTTATCGAAATCGTCTTTTTGTCGTGCGGATTTTTTTCTGTTGATATTGCTGTGGCGACGACGGCCGCAACGATGATGTCTTCTTGTGTTTTTACCAAACGAATGATCAATATGATACCACCAATCCACACACTGTGTATATAAATGAGTTGACAAATTTCATTGCAAATCTCAATCGATTTGATGGACCAACAAAACACATATATGTTGTTTTACTTCCTTCCCTTTGTCCAATGTGTGGGTAAATGTGTGCGTGTATGCGTTAGATTGTATATGTGATACTACGGTAGCGGTACAGATAGCTTCTCTCTATGGGTTCTATCGAATAGAATGGGAATGGATGTGCTTACGCATTTTTTCATGTTTCAAGCGTATAGATAACAGTGCTGTTGTCGTCATCATGACTGAAGGATTTTTCCCGAAATAATTTTCGAAAGGGACCGAACTAAGTGCGGAGAAACCACAAATTACCACAAACGCTTGACCATCGTCATAAAGTTTTATGTGTGTGTTCTTGTATTGTGTCTCTTCCATTCTGACTTACGCAAGCGCATTTCTTGTATTGCTCGTTCTTGAATGCATGGTACGCATGGGCTCGTTATCAACGTCACATAAACCCGCTTCGGATTCGATACTTTTATTTTTACAATGGAACTTTTTTTTATTTCGGCCCGTTCCGCATTTTTTTTCATGTACTTGACTTTTTTCAAGAGAATTTTTTTTTCCGATGACTTTAATCAAGACCAGAGCCGATATGTTCTGTGATGAAATCCATTTGTTAGTTGACAAGATCATTAAAGTTAACTACTTTTCGCAAGATAGTAACATAAATTTGAATAGTCTAGTTACAACAATGGGGTTTTTATCATCTTTCGATTGTGCCGAGGATTTTCGGTAGTCTTCTTTCCGATGAGCATCAATATGACTATTCAATTGAGATTCAAATTGGCATCGGCGATCCGATTAACAACCTGTTTACAATTCTATCAACTGAAAAGAATGTACCAAACTGGAATCGATCTAAACTATACTCGCGCGAATAGAGATGACGAAAAAAAATACGCCCAAGGAAGTACGAGAGCAGAAGAAGTGAAGAAAAAAACTCTGGCTAAAAAAAGAACTGAATGCAAATCACATCGTTATGATGGAATAGATTGTCAAAAAAAACTTCCCCGTATTGGTTTTTTCCGGCGTGTATCGAGCAATAACGAATTCGATCTTGAAATAGAACTCGTTTCCATCCAAAACGATGGTAGATACGACATAATTTTTTTCTTCTCTTATTCTGATCGGTTTCGCTTTGTGGACAGTCGCATCACACGATATACAGTGTTGCGGTTGGAGTGCGAATCAAGATGAAAGCATTGGTTTTTTCATTTTTGATTGGGTTTAAACGCAGTACTGCATTGTTTCTTCTTCGATGGTTCAATTTACTCGAAGATTTTACCACTGGTTTGTTGATTGGCCGAAATTATTTTTTTTTCTGCAAATTATTTTCTTCTGTTCGTACAATGACATTAATAAAAAGTAGAGAGAAATAGTGACCGTTGCGAGATAACGCATTCAATTCGGATTAGATGAAATGAAGGGAAACGATAACAACCAGCGTCAGAAAGTTGTATTTATATAATTCAAAATGTTAATGGATCTTTCGTTGCTACTTTCAATGTGCGTTTCGTTTCTCATTGACGTCATCAGTAATATGGTAGTTTCTTCGTGTATTTTTTTTTCTTTTTCATTGGAGGTTTGAGCCAATTTTAGAAATGCTTCATGAACGATTTGACATATCTAATGAATGAGGCAAAAATTAGTAGTTTGGAAAACATAAAGCATCCAAGTCACATCTTCTTATCATTTTCTCACAGCAAGAACTCGTCATTGTCCTCAAATTCAAATTCAAAAGAATTGCTCGTCATTCAATCAATGGGTTCCAGAGGCTATGTGACCTTTTCATATATTATCTATGTTTTTTTTTTGCTAAAAATTACCAAAAATTGCCAAAAATTGTCAAAAATATTGAAATAAAATGGCAACAAAAAATAAATAAGTTCTTCGAAACTTTCGAGAAAAAAACCCGAAAAAAAATTCGTTGAAAATATTCGTAAAAATAAAAATTTGCAGACAACAAGTTCATTTTGATTCGGGGGTTCATTGCATTCATTGATTTGAAGGTTCATTCGTTTTCGGGTCATTTCGATACGCCGGTTTATTTATTTATAAAAAAGACGGTATTCAACAGATGCAATTAAAAAAGCTGGGCATATATTTGGAGAACGACAACTTTCAAAAGGAGTCAAACAGCACTTACAAAGTCTCGCGCCAAAATAATGGAACCAAGAAATGTATTACGCACATAATTATTGTAAACAGGAAGAGTTAGTCCGTCATATTGCACCAGTTTTTTTAAATCTCCATATCCCTTTCTCGCGTAAAAATAAGGGAGAAATTAATAATTGTTTTTTTTTTAAATTAAAAATTGTTTAATCACATCTCAGTCTAAAAACTTTTCCTGTAGAACGTAAAAAAGTGGGGAACAACGAAAAATACACCATACGAAGTACAAGGAAAAAAAATCTATATCGAAATTGCAAGTGTGAACAAAGCGAAACGTACGCTCTTGACAGTGAAAGCATTCATTCAAGGTTATACAGTTTTCCCATTTGGTCGCGCACAGTGTCGATCATTATAACGAACAGCAATATAAACCGGATTAAGTGTGTGCGAAATGCAAAAAAAAAAATAAGTGTGAATCAAAATTACGATCGATACAAACGCAGCACGTTGAATAAAATGTGAATAAATTGCATTGTGCACGCAATTACATCACATAAAAGAACGAATACTCGTTGAAAACTTCGAATTTCGTGTTGTTTGTATCGTATGTTTTGTGTGAGTGACACTGTTGGCCTAGCCATTGGCAGTGGAAGATTTTCAAATATTCTTTTGTTCTGCCGCTTCGAAGCTAAATGATCTTGAACAAAGTGCATTTATTCCGTCATGCTGACCATTCAATGGTACATTCCCGTTCGATGGAAAAATTCGGTATGGAGAGCAAGAGATAATAAACAAAGCGTTTTATTTACGTGCGCAATAATTGCTTGTTTGAATGGTTTCGAGAGTTGAGCATTCTATTGTCAGTGTGATGGTTGCAGCAATCGATGAGTGCACTAAAGATTAAAGGATCATGTTGTAAATGGCAATTTTTGCACATCGTCTTGTGCACAATGGTTGGACCATCGAGTTTATTCGCGTGGAAGTGGTGCAGCTTTTCTGTGCATCTCTAAAGAAAAATAAAATAGGCGTACATCTCTGGAGGAGTCATTAAAGCCAAACTACGTCATTCGACTGATTCAAAATGGACATTTGTGTGCCGTTAAAGATTTCCTATCTGTTTTTCTCTTTTTTATTTCGTTCGTATTTCTTTCTTTCAACACAAATGAAGAAATGCCCATTTTTTTTTCAATAGGAGCAACCAGTTTATTCTATAGTTCTTCTGCGTTCCTCGCTTTTTTTTTAATGCAACAAAACCATCGCGAAGCGAATTTATCGCATACGGATACGATACGATATAAATTGGCACGGTGAAGCTCAAGAAATGAAATAAAATCTACAGAAGAAAAAAAAAACACGATGAAAATAGGAATGAACGAAACACTTAAATGCACGTTTAATTTAAATCAATTTTATTGAAATAGACATTATTTACATCTATCGATTTAAGATGCAAACTTGATATGAAAAAAAAATCACATACACACTTATCATACATACGGTGTGCCTGCTAGCTGCCGTTCACATCAATGATGTTCGACGAGTAAAGAAATATGAGGGAAAGGAGCAATGTAGAATGTACGTCAGCTGCGACCTGATCAATTTCATTGAATTGTTGTTGTTTGATGTCGGTTGTCCACTTCGAATGTGTGTATAGATTTGGCCAAGTTTTCAGGGTCAGCTACTTTGTTTTATACGTTAAATGTTTTTCTTCAGTGGTGCGACCAATATTGGGTGATTGGTGGGTCCCATTCTCAAATTCCTCAAGTTCATTTCCATGGCACTTTCTCTTGGAATCATGTGATGCGATTGTGACGCGAGCTCAAGAAGTCTTTTTCATATATCCACATTTCCGATGCGTTTAATCAACGTCAAAGTTCCGTGTATGGCAAGTGGTTTTGGGTGAAAATGTTTGGATGAATTTTACGACGAACATTCGAATCAGTACGCATTTGCTGTGAAAACATGAAAATTTCCACACAAAAAAAACTTTACGAACACAATCGGTTTCATACATGGCTACGGTGGACTTTTGTCTCCGAATCGACTGATTGGTGTTGTTTTTATTCACATTATATCAAATCGCACGCTCCAGACAGGAACACGAGCCTTTCTCTTTTCAACTATTCTAAAGATATGCAAATGATAATGAATCGCCATCACAACAAAAAAAGATCATTTTGAAGGTTTACCGGCTATGATATACAAAGTTTGAGTTCTTCAGTGGGCCTTGTTGTTGAGCGAGCGTTGTCAGTGTGTATCGAAAGGCGCTGATTATAGGAAATCAGAGCATACATTGACAAAATGAATCAGCAGAATGCAGAAACGAAGAAGAAAAAAAACGGTCCAGTCTGTCGAATAGAGACTGGTACTGTTTCGAAACTTGATGTGTAAATTATGACATGGCTAAAGTTTGGTGAATTGCACTATGCATGGTCATTCAACCGAAACGACTAGCAACCTTAAAATGCATTCCATACCAAACAGAAATGCCCGGCTAATGTGTGGTTTGGTTTTGTTTCAGTCAGCAGCGCCTGCCTGTTTTGGGTTGCATATTGAATTTCTCATTATGAATGTTACATGGCTCAAGAATCGGCTAATAACCTCTATGCATATAATCATAAGCACCCAAATGGTCCCAAAAACAAATATGAATTAAAGCCTCAGTTAACCGAGAAAAAAAAATCCACTTGTAATACAGTAATGACACTGACTCTTCATAACATCAAAAAAAAAAGCAACACCCATCCAAGAATTCGCGATCTAAAACCGAATAAAAGAGATTTATTCAAAGTGTCCGCCA